ACTACCTTTGACAGAAGCTGTAATAAAATGATCAGATAAATTAAGGCACAAAGGTAATGACAATACACAGATGTATCATTATTATTAATATGTTTTGTTGATTAGTTAATTCACAGAGATGAATAAATTTCAAATAATTGTTGTCATTTAAAATGTATAATTTAGTCTAAGATTCTACCACCAGAGGGCGACAAAATCACGCGCCCAGGTGAGTAGGGCGGAACCAATGTTCCGGTTGCGGAAAAGCAGGGGGATCCTAAAACATGACGGACCAACATGGCGGCGGCGGAAAGTTAAACTAAACAAATCAAATGTAATGTAGTTTTTTTACATCATTTTCTCGCGAGAACGTTAAAGTTAAATCTGCAAAGTCTTTCGGTGTCAATATCGACAACACGTCGAATGTGGAGGAAACTTGACATCGGATATTAAGCTTGAAATCACAGTTATTTACCGGGAACCGCTGGAAACACGTTAGCTAAAGAAGCATGTGGGGGGAAATCGAACCTCCGGTAAAAACACAACAACAACAACAACAGAGTCCGCGTGAGAGCGAGGAAGAACCGACCAGATCACCGGAGGAGCCGGTGACACTGCCCCGGAGATATGAATCAACCCCCCGCACAGACACCGAGCAGACGCCGCCGGACATCCCGGTGAGACCAGCAGCTTTTAATACAAACCCTGGTGTGTGAGTGTGTGTGTGTTGTTCTCTGTTACTAACATGTCTGCACCTCCCAGTTCTCGAGCCACGCCGAGTCCACCTGTGTGAACGCCATGTTGGAAGCTGTCGCCTCCAGCGGGAGCCTGGTGAAGAGTCAGCAGGTCGGAGACGCTGAGCTGAGTCTGGAGCAGCGCCGCCACGAGCTGCTGCTTCAGTACACACACAGACCGCTGGTGTTCCTGGAGAGGTATCATGTATGTGCACAAAGCAAAGCCATGTTTACTCACGCAGCACCTTCTCACACACACTCGTCACATAAATGTAGAAGCTTTCACAATCTTATCGGCGTCATCGAGGACAAGTTCACTCATTTATACACATCAGCCGCACCATCAAAGTGCAAAATCAATTAGAATGAGCTAGAACCAAAAAGATAATCCAAGATTAAACACACTACAGAAATCCATCTTGCTGCCGACATGACCAGAATGAAATATATCTCATTGTGTCGTTGTTTACTCTGTTTCCAGGCGTGTCTGAAGCCTCAGGATCTGTCAGCGTTTGCCCACGTCTGCTCAGACCCTCGAGCTCTACACTACAGCAGCGTGATACAGAAACGGGATGAAGAATGCACGAACAGAACCAGGGTCAGAAACCAGCGCTACGCAGCCCTCAGAGCCCTGCAGAAGGGTAGGGGCTCCACTCGCCCACAGTTGTATCATGCAGACTTTTTGGGCTAAAGATTATAGATCTGATGATATACATGAACTGGAACTGTCTTCATCTCTTCTCCTGCTCTACCTCCTCTCGTAGAGGGTCAGTATTTCAGTGAAGAACAGATGCGGATCAGGGAGCCGCTCCTGTATGAGCAATATATTGGCCAGTACCTGACAGATGAGGAGGTGAGTTTCATTCTGTAATATTTTAGTTCAGTTTAGGTTTAAAGAAATTTCTCTAAAAAAAATAAAAATGTGAGTGTCATCTGCTTAAGGTGCTGGAGCGCTCCCAGGAAGCCATGTTGGACGGTGCACCGGGGGGACCAGGGGCCCCAGCAGGAGGCGCCGGAGGGCTCGCCCACCTCCTCCTCAACTCCTACCAGGAGCGTCTCATCCAGAATCGACTGCAAGAGGAGCAGGAGAGAGAGGAGGGTGCACTGGAGGAGGAGGAGGAAGATGAGGAAGATGATGGTGAGAGTGGGCTACAGTTGGTGCTGAAGTTACTTTTACCTCTGTGGTTTTTGTCAGCATGTGTTTGTGTCTGTGTTCAAACTGAAGATAATAGAGTCCAGGAGAGTGAAAGGGAGCCAACAGCTGAGGAGAAGGCTCTGCTCCGGGAGGAGTTCATCAGTCAGATGCACCAGCGCTTCTTAGACGGCAAAGACAAAGATTTCAACTACAGGTCAGCCACACCCCCACACACTGGGCCTTTATATTCTCTATTTACACATGGACATAAAAGAGAAGCTGCTGGTTTTCATAGTTGTTGTTTTATCCTTCAACAAAGAAACGTTGATGAAAACCTTCCTGACAGAGTTGATATGCGCCTGCTGTGTCATTATTATATTATTATAATTCAATTTTCAATGATAACAAATGGAAGCTAAGTCTAATTGGTCAAATCCAGTTTGTGGATGTCTGTGTGCAGAAGTCTGCAAATTAAATTGGAATCTAATTGGGATGTTGAATGTTAAATTGGTCTTCATGTCCAGAATATTATAACTTCTGTGAGTGTTTGAATTAGCTCTTAATAGTACAGTATAGTAATTGTGCATTTTTTGTTTTTGTCCATTTAAGTGAAGTGGATGAAAACCCAGACTACGACAACTTGGACATTGTCAACAGAGATGCTGAGGAAAAGTACTTTGATGAAGATGACGATGATGAAGAGGATATGACCGACTAGCTGCTGCAGTCGTGTTTCACCTCTCGGACTGAACTGTGAATACACATGTACAAAATAACGATTCTGTTTTTCAATGTTTCACCTGAATGCAAACACAGCTGGTAATAAATACAGCTTAGCTTGTAGCTGTCTGGCATTTTGAGAAATTCATTGGCGGCACACATCCGATGGATTAAAACTACGATGTGTCTCACACACCACCTGGTTTTCTCTTCAGCCTGGAGACAGAAGGAGGCACGTGGGGTTTTCCTCTGGGAATCAGACTGGAGCTGAACTAAGCTGCATTACCGTTAATTTCTGCGTCGGTCAAGTGTATCCGCTCTTCATTTTTATAACTTAAGTATACTTAATCACATGTGCAGCTGTGCAGAGCATTTCTCTTATAATCTTCAATTTTCAACCGAAGCAGAACAAAGAACGAGGATCGTATCACAACAGGAAAATCTTTCCACATTTTGTTACATTGAAAATGTCCCAATACAAATGTTCTGAAATCATTAGATTTTAAGCTTATGTCACAATTTCAAAAGATACATTTCCTCTCCAAGATTTCTGCATCACCGTTTCTTTACTGCAGAGATTGACACCTGTACAAAAGTACATCTTGTTACTGTCAGAAGGGAAAGAGCCAGGTTGTCTCATAAATCCACGACTCAGTGTGAGTTTCATTCACAGCTACTTTCCAGCAGGGAACACGACACAACCATGTGATGTGTGAAGGTTTTAATTGTTGAAGTGGATGTAGGAAAATGAAACAATCTGTGAGAGGCAGACACTTGGTTAGCAAACCACCACAGTGAGGTTCACATCGAAACGAGGCGAATGACACCGTGTTTTTAGCCTAAAGCCTAGTTTATGCTTCTGTGTCACGTCGACGCCGTACCTACGCTGTCGACGTGACACAGTTGTTGAGCATTCGAAGTTCTGCGTCGAGGGAACGCGTTGCTCTGCAATTCACCGCCATGCCGGGCTGTGTGTTTGTGTGGTGATAGCCGAATCGTCGCTTTTTCATCTGTAAAGTAAACAACAGTAAACAATGGTGACCGAGGTGGAGCAGCTGTATTTGGAGTTGGAGCTCATCAATATTGAAGAACAAATGCTTATATTGCAAATGTTGAAGCGCAGGCGTCGACGCGACGCAGAAGCATAAACTAGGCTTTAAGCTAACAGTCCATCGGAAGGTGCTAAGCTAGTGGATGTTAGCATGTCCGATGCTCGGTGAAGATAGGAAGATGTCAGAAGACTTTTAGGATAAAAATGACGTCGATTCGAGTCGAATATGAATACTGAGGCTTGCTGACGCTTGGTGACACCACAGGAGCAGAATGGAGGCAGGATATGTTTTTTCTGTTTTATCACGTATGAAGAAGGACTCTCTGGATTCTGCTGCAACAGAGTTTACCCCTGAAAGTGTTTTGTGGTCTCAAACACTTCCCCCACGCCTCCATCTGCACAGTGGTGAGGAGATAATGAGGGGATTTTCATTTTTCAGTGAACTATCCCTTGAATGCTCTGAACGTCATGTCACAGCAACATTACACTTCAATTATTCTTAATTTACAAAAGTTGTTTTCCATCATGTCGAGTATGAGGTCGTTTGATACCAAAGGTTTTTTAGAGAGCTTCTGTTTGCTGGTCTTTCACCTGACATCACTTTCTGTCAGCCAGTCGCTGCAGGAGCGCGATGACTGTGTCCTGTTTGGAGGAGAGCAGCTCCAGGGCCGTGGCTATCCTCCCGAGGGACTCCGCCATCCGCACCTCCCTCCTCTCACGCCTCTTCTCTCTGGCATCAACCTTGCGGCGAGCCACTCGATCCATGTGCGCCTGCTCCTCCTGCCGCTTCAGAAGCTCTTGGAGCAAAGCTATGCTGCTTTGCTCCTCGTGTCCTTTCTGGTTCTGCGCTTCGCTTTCGGACAGGCTTGTTGCAGACAATGAGGTGGCGGCAGAGGACATGAGGCAGGAGGACATTGGGGAGAAAGACGACGAGAGGCCGAGGAGGTTTTGACTGTTGCTGACTGGCGCCGCACTGAGACGAAAAGGAATGACGCCTGACGAGAAGGAGGGAGCTTTGCGGCTTACGAGGTGTGACACGCTGAGGTCTGTGCTACTGGGCGAGCCGAGGGAGGGGGAAGTCGAGGCCGTTTCCGTAAAACGAGGCGAGGAGATAAAAGATGGAGACGGCACAATGGTGGCGGGATGAATACTGGTTGTAACAATGTCACCGTTGAGAACGATCAGGGGCTTGACCTCTGGAGCATTCGTCGGGCTGATGGTCGCTGTAGCCACTGAGGTAATGGTGTCCGTGCTACTGATGATTTGATTGGTGGCGGCTCCCTGACCCACTGACTCCAAACCACCAGGCAGAGCAAAGTCACCATTCGGGCAGACAATGGTGGGGGGCTGGGGTTTTGCAGCGATTTTTGCCAAAGCACAGGGAAGCGTAGAGGCCGCGTTGCCACCTTTGTGTCTTTTGTTGTTGCTGATCTGAGTTCCAACAGTGTCGCAGAGTGTGGCATCCATCAACTGGAGAACAGACCGATACAACAACAATGAGAAGAAGACATGTATAGACAGAATTTACCCAGAGGAACTTTGCACACTGAAAAACCTATCCTCAGTGTTTTTTTATATGTTAGACTCACATCAAAGAACTCCCAGGATGTCTTCGCGTGTCCCGTCTCCCGGCTGCGGTCTTTAACCCTCTTGTACGTGACAATGAGGTTGTTCCACTTGCGACGGATCTTCTCAACAGGAAGCACGTGACCCTTGGAGGCCATCTCCTCCTGGACGCTCTGGAAGAGCTGAGAGCGTTCCCGGGTCTCGTACAGACCCCAGCGACGCCCGACGGCCTCGATCAGACACAGAACAGCTTTGGAGGAGAAATCTGAGCCAGAGGGAAGCGTCTTGTCTGACGGAGCCGGAGGCATCACTGAAGCTGGGGGAGGACACAATGGATTCTGTTTAAAAAACGATCTCAGAGAAGAACGACACATTAATAATGCATTAAAACTGGTTTAGAAAATGAAGCCAAAATATCCCAGACACGGGCGCTGCCATCTTGTTTTGATGACGTCCTTTTGGAGCCAGACTCTGCACAGGAAGTGAAGTTGTGGTACCGAGGTCTCGCTGAGACTTTCAGGTAAATAACTGAAGCTACACAAAGTTGTGCATTAGACTAAGAAACACTTGTGGTAAGTGTTTTTTTTTTAAAGTGAAAACTGTAAAAGAGTAAAACTTAAAATAAAAGACAAGATATCCAAAATATGAAATAAAATAAACACAGGCAGTAATGGTGACATGGTTGATGCAGCTCAATGGTAAAATGCTGGTCTCGTGATGTCTCATTACCTGGAGCTATCTTCAGGTAGGTCTTTCCATCTCCTGATGTGGTGAAGAAGCGCTCAGTGCTCACAGGATCTGATGGCCACACAACATGAGTCATTGTTTTATATATTTTCAATCCCAACATTTGTGACAGTGTGAATGTGACATGTTATTCAGTCTCTTTGCACCATGAAGACAGACAGATGGAGCCACGTCTACATGCTGATGCTCCTCACTCACACAGCAGCACTGAGGTTTTAGAGGCGGCTGCCTCCTGCAGCTCCTCCGCAGTCTGATCCTCTCCTCCTCCCTCTCCTCCCCCTCCTGCTCCTCCGCAGACAGGCGGCTCCTGGCTGCTCGGCACCGGCGCAGATGTGTGTTCATCCACCGCTTCAGTTTTCACATGCGTGGTGATGAGGCCTCCCTGCAGGTTCTCCTCCATGACTGCTGCTGCTGCTGCGGACACACGAGCACCGACATGGGCCTGAGCGCTGGAGGAGCCGCGTGCTTCGTCTGCGCAGGCGTTGGTCTGTGGAGAAAGTTTGGAGGCCGCGGGTCTCAGGCAGCCGAAGCCGACTTCTGCATCGATACGCGCCGCTACGAGGATCGAGTCCCGCACGGCGGCGTGGTAACGTGCGTGATGGACTCACGCCAGCCGAGTCCGCTGCGTGTTTTCATGGGGAGCAGAGAAATGGCTGCGCGGTTCACCGCAGCTGACGAATGCGCAGAGCGACTGCGCAGCTGCACGCGCTGATAGGCTGCTGGCAACTGTGACGTCAACACGCACACGGTACACGCATACATAAAGTACAAATACTGTACATACATACAAACACACATCCAGTGCATACATACTGAAAGTACACACATGTACACATTAACTACATACACACATGAAGCACACACACACACATCCAGTACATACATACTGAAAGTACACACATGTACACATTAACTACATACACACATGAAGCACACACACACACATCCAGTACATACATACT